TCCCTCTTTTCTTTCTCTCTCTACCCCTTTCTTTCTTCCTCTCTCCCCGTCTCTCTGTCCCTCTCCCCCTGTATCTTTCTCTCCCTCTTTTCTTTCTCTACCCCTTTCTTTCTTCCTCTCTGTCTCTCCCTTTTTTTCTCCCCCTCCTTTCTTTCTCCCCGTGTCTCTTTCTTGCTCCCCTTCTATCTCTCTTTCTCTCTCCCTTTCTCCCCATCTGCCCTGCCTTTCTTTTTCCCCCCGTTTGTCTCTCTCTCTCCCTCCTTTCTCCCCATCTGCCCTGCCTTTCTTTTTCCCCCCGTTTGTCTCTCTTTCTCTCCCTCCTTTCTCTCCATCTGCCCTGCCCTTCTTTTCCCCCCTCTGTTTGTCTCTCTCTCTCCCTCGTTTCTTTCTCCCCCTGTCTGTCTCTCTGTCTGTCTTTTCTCTGGCTTCCCTCCCAGCTCTCAGACCAGCCACAGATTTTGTGAAAGCCTGGAAGGGCCGGGGAGGGGAGGACCCATAGCCCCAGCTCCTTCCACCTCGCCCGCCCCTTCTTGGCAGCGAAGTGACAGGGAGGAGGCTACACACCTGAGCCTGGGCAAGGTCAGCCTGAGGCAGGCCTCTAGGCCTTGGAAAGCAACCTTTGGCCTGGCCTTGGAGCTGAGAGGGAAGGTGAGGCACAGGAGCTGAGCCATGCTCTGGGGAGCCCCTTGGCACGTGGGCAGGAGCTGTTACCAAGCAGCCAAGGCTGCAGGAGGAATGTGGAGGCAGAGCCCGGGAAGGCTCACCAGCCCTACCCCGATGTAACTAGGGGGTGAGAAGAGCTCTGCTGGGAAGGGACCCGCCCCTGGCTTGGCTGCAGAGAAACCACAGAGCTTGGCTCCAAGCTAGCAAGAAGCACCACCTTAAAGAACCAGAAAGACCCCCAAAGAGGCCCCCACCCCCGCTCCAGCCAGCCTCTGTCCTAGGTGTCCTGGGGGCTTGTCCATTCCAACCTGGGATCCCTGCTCGGACATGAGGTCTCTACTCAGGGGCCCTGGACCCATCACCTACAGGGGCTGGGCCCACCTCTGTTTGGGTCTGGGGACCCCGACTGCTTCCCACTTACCACTGCCATCTCTCTCTGCATCCGCCGTGCAGGAGCTGCAAGACACAGAGAAGGGTGAAGGCCTGTCGCTTCTCCCTGGACTCACTCTTCTAGAGAAGGGGCAGGGGTGAGGGGAGAGGGCTCTGCCAAGGACGAGCCCCCGGACCGGGGACAGACAGGGCCCCTTCTAGTCTGGGCCTCACTTCCCTAACTCACCAAATCAAGTGCATGACATTCTACAGGGGCCAGCCCAGTTCCCCTCCCCATTTTACAGACAAGGACACCAAAGCTCGGCTGGGGAGGCTGTGACTTGCCCAAGGTCACGTGGCAGTTGGCGGCACAGAGGGCCAGGAGTTGTTCCCATTGGGCCGTTGGCCTGCCTTTTAAGCTCACGTGATGACAATGGTGCCATATGCTAGGCATATCATGGCACAGATGCAGCAGAGAATGATACAATGGGGCGAAGGGATGGAAAGACATTTTACAGCTGGTCTGTTTTTGCCAGAGCAGTTTTCAGCCTGGGGGCTCAAAGCTACAGAAAGAGAATTCTGGGTTACTTTCTCAGGGCTGCCCAGAGCAGAAAGAAGCCTTTTTGTGGACCCTCTCTCTAGGCAGGGGAGCCATCGGCAGTGTGGCTGTGGGGAGGCTATCACCAGCTGGCTGGTGGTCAGATTCCCTTCCCGTTGTGTGCCACATAACCTGGGGGTGATGAGGCCCACAGTCCCAGCCCCCTGGGGCTGGCGGGAGACTTGTTAGATGTGTGCAATGCCAGATACATCTCAGCTCTTTTTATGGCCCTCAGGGCTACCGAGACCTCACTACCTTTTCCATTTCAGGAAAGCCCACTCGGGTCAGGATGCTGTGGGAGAAGCAACGTCCTCCATTTACCTGCCCAACATTCACCTGGGATTTTACTGAATCAACAAGCATTCCTTGTTAAGTGCCCACAGTGAGCATGGCTTTTTGGGCCATCCCTGTCCTTGGGCTCCCAGAGGGATGAGGAAGACATGTGAATAAAGAACAGTGCACACACAGGATCTGCTGGAGAAGGGTCATCTAGGTGGGAAAGGCTGCCCTTCAGCCAGCAGGTGGCCCTGCCCAAGCTCCAAGCTGGAAGCATCCCCTTCCCCCAGTCCTCCAGAGCCTCTGGCTATCTCCCAACTTTTATCAGGGCTGAGCAGGAATCCTGATAAAGCCGGAGTCCAGCCGCCAGCTCTTGGGGTGGCCAGCGTCCCCAGGCCCACCCTTATCTCCCTGGCGCCTCACAACTGTCTGGGGAGATGACAGTACAAGACGTCAGTCCCTCTTATCCAGAGCACCAAACCGAGGCATCCAGAGCTTATGACTTGCTCATGTATGTCCGGCAGGATCTGAACCAAGACCAGCGCCGTGCACAAGCACTGTGCACTGGCTCAGCTTCCGGGCTGCTCTCCCTGACCAGCGCAAGGGTCACCGATGAGATTATGGGCCACAAACCTTCGTTTGGGGGACTCCCAGGGCCCCTGCACAGCCCATGCCCACTGCCCACTTGTTGGGGGCGGGGCTGTCCCCAGGATTAGATCTGGTCTATGAGTTACAGCTGACTGGGAGTGTGTCCCTGGGCCCCCAGAACATAAGCTCCTTGGGGAGCAGGGATTGGGTCATTTTCCATCTTTTTATTTCCAGTGCTTGGCACAGATCCTGCCCCCAAGGGGCACTTCAGAAAATAAACCTCTGCTGATTGTTTTGTCCAGCTGTAGCTGAGGGTGTGCCCTTCCCAGGCTACTTAACCCGGGGAGGAGGGTGGGGGCAGGTGGAGAGCACCCCCTGAGCTGGGCCTGAGGTGACCTCCATCTGTGTCCTAGTCGGGGGAGGATGGGCTTCCCGAATGACTCCAGGCTTCTTAGCCTCCAGCCCCTCTTTTCTCCAACCATCCTGGAGAGCCAGTCCTGACCACCACTCCCTTGCTCAGTCAGCACCCGGGGCTTACTATTCCTCCCCAGGATCTACTGTAAACTCACTTTTCTATCTGGCCTGGAAGTCCTTCCTGGCCTGCCCCTACCCTAGACCTTTCCAGCCTCATGATACCTTTCCTCTCCTCCAGGCACTCCAGAATGCAGGGAAATGGGTGCCCTCAATGCGTCCCCCTGCAGGGAATCCACTCCCTCCTCCTGTTGGAATCCCTATTACCATCAGCTGCAGAGACCCTTCTCCCATACTTAAGGCAGTGGGAGCTGCTGCTTCTTCGTTCCAGGGCAGAGAAACATCCTGCCCTGCCCTCCCCCACCCCAGCTGCCCAGCAGGCCTCAGGAGGCCTCTTCCCGGCAGCTGCATTCCATCCTCTGGGCTCACAGGCTCGGCCCTGGCGCTGGCTCCAAACAGGCAGCCCGGTGTGGTGTGGGCCAAGGGGTCCCAAGGAATGGCAGCTGCCAATGGGCAAAGCATTCATGGGCCCCTGAACCCATCCAGCTGGATTAGCCAGGGCTTCTGCAAGAATGCCGGGCTCTGAGTCTGGACCCTTCATCCTTCTGAGCCCGCTAATCCTGGGCGTCTGATCCTGACCTCGCAGCAAACCAGGATCTCAGAACTTCAAGGAAAGGCCTGCGTGACCACTCCCCAGACCCCCGAGAGCATGACCTACACCCTGGGAAGCCCTGGCCTGCCCACTGAGGAGCAGCTGAGACATCTCTGGTAGAAAGAGATCTCTTTTTCTCTAGCGCAGGAATGAGCAGCCAGTACTGGGCAGCATCCGGGTTGAGAGGTGGGCACCTCGGTCCCGGCCCTCACACTCACTGTGGAGGCTGCCTCCATCAGTAGGGAATGAGCTCTGTGTCACTGCAGGTATTCAAACACAGGTGGGATGGCCACAGGTCAGGGATTGTGGAGGGGGTCCCTGCCTCCAGCACGGAGTCAGACTGAATTATCAGCGGATCTCTTCACGTGCAAGAGAGAGATTACCCCTCCTACTGAAGACTTTCCTGATCACCCAGAGGCGGCGGCCGCCCCCGTATGGGAACAGGATCGATGGACGTGGCTCCCCAGGGCCCACCTGCCTCTCCTTGGTTTCTGTACCTTTTGCACGTAGTAGGTGCTTACAACTGTTGATGGACTGGAAACCTAGCACGGTGCCCGGCTCATAGTAGGCAATTACTAAATGCTTGTTGATGGAGGGGATTTGGAGCTGGAGGGGATCTTTAGTTTAGCTTTTAGTTTACAGATGAGGAAACTGAGGCCCAGGAGGGTAGCTTGTCTGTGGTTGTGTGAGCCACTTGTGGGCCCCCAACACTGCTCCCCGCCCTGTCTCTCCTTCCTCGTAACTACAGACTTTCCTAATAGACTGATCTGACGGCAATATGAAGGCTAAGACAGACCCTCAAATGGAAAAATCTAGATAAAATGTGTAACAAGGTAGAATCATCTTTGTCTCAATTCCAAATACCATTCACTCCAGAAAGACGCCAGGTGCTGCCGCAAAAAGCCAACAAGTCCTGACGGCTGAGCACCGCAAACGAGCCTTGGCATAGCCCTCCTAGCTCAAGGTTGCCACCTTGGGTGAAAATGCTCAGAGGAGCTGGTTCTGAATTGTCACTGGATTGGCTCTCCCTCCTTGGGGTACCCCCTCCACCAGAGCAGATTGCAGCCCTCTCTCCTCCATGACTTCCTGCAGAGGATTCCCCTTGCCCACAGCTGGGGGCCAGTGTAGCCCATGGGCCGTCCATCTGTTCTCTTTCACTCCATGCCCAACCTGCATCCTTTAGAACCTGCCTTTTCCTGGCCAACATCTGTAAGTCACTGTTAGCCTACCACCCTGCAGGCCTCCATCTCCCCCCTTTGAAGCTTCAGGAAGATGTGGGATAAGAATGAGAACAGGAGGCACCTTTCATCTGCACATCTCTAAATGCCACCCCCTGCCATCTTGCTCACGCCTCCTGCCGTTTTATTCGTCTTCACGCAGCTGGCATAGGAACTCCCACTGCCCATGCAGGCTGGGCACCTTCCCTGAGGCCGGGGGCACAGAGTGAGCCTGGGCATCCACTCTTGGCTACTTGCAAAGCCCACACATGTGCCCAGACATCCAAGTGGACAGGCTTTGGAGGGGAATTCTCTCTCACTGCTTCCGCTTTCCCATCTGCCCCGTTCCTGCCATGGTTTTTATCTCAGTGACAGCTCTCTCCAAAGGGAGGGTCTGGGCCACACCTCCATCCCTTAAGAGGGGTCAGAATCTAGCACCCCCCTTGAAGGGGCTGTTACAGATTTTCCCTGTGTAAAAAAATCCTCCCTTCTCCCAGGAGCGTATGGGGCTTCACAGAGTGCAACCTTCTTGGGGAGGGTGTGTGTGTGTGGGTGTGTGTGTGTGTGTGTGTGTGTGTGTGTGTGTGTGTGTGTGTGTGAACAGTACCTAGAGAGGTGTGGACACAGTAGGTGTTCCATAGATGCCTTTCTGCAAGTTTGGCCCCTGAAGAAAAGATGAAGAGCCCTGCAGCCCCTGTAGGATTCAGGCTAGGGGGCATCACTGGAAATGAGAGCAGCAAAAACACGGGGGTCTCCACTCAATTTTTAAAAGATGCTTGTTGAATGAATTACTAATTGCTCCTTCAAAGGTTGGCACTTTAGCTGGGATGCCTCTGCTCCCCCCCCCGGACTCAAGAGCCCCCCAGTCTCCCTGCATCGATTGGCTGTGGTGGTGGTGGTGGGGTATGCTCCCTAGCATTCCGGGGAGAGAGGGAGAGAGACAGACAGACATTCAGACATTCAGACACACAGACACACACACTTTGGTTGGAATCCAATTCTCAATGGGCCAATACGTCAGGACCCAGGTGGGGTCAGGGAGTCAGAAAGGAGAAGACCTCATGAGTACCAGCTGTGTGGCCCTGGGAGGGGCCTTCTGAACCTCAGTTTCCTCATGGGTAAAATGGGGATAATAATTCCTTTACAGCGGCTCTCTCAGAGAAGACAGGAAACACACGGTAGAGATTGGTACTTAATAAACAGTCACTGATTGGTGAATGAAGGTTTCTATCACAAGGGGCAGGACCGAGATTTCACCTGGATAGGGAGGGAACTCTGGAGTAAGTCAGCTGCCTTCACCAATGCAGCAACTTCTGCGTTCCAGAGCTGCCCGGGGCACAGCGAGGTGGACTGCCTGAGCCAGTCACACAGCAGGCATGGCTCAGGGGCAGGATTGGAACCCGGGTCTTCTAGGCTGTAGCCAGCCGTCCATCCCCCACACCTCCCTGACTCTGATGCTTACGTTACATGCTTAAGAACACCCAGGAGCCAAGAGGTGTCTCAGTAATTGTGCCCGGCCACCCGCCATCCTCCTGCCTTCTCTCTCCTCTCCCACCACTTCCTGACGCCTGCCCGGCCTTCACTCTCTCCCGGCTCTACTTCACCTTCACGGAGCACCCCGGGGAACTCTCCTCAATGCAGACCTCCCTCCCCTACTCAGTGAACTGCGGCTCCCTGTCACCTCCTGGAAAAGTCTGCCCTTCCCTGAGTGACTCCGCCCTGAGTTCAGCCTCAGTTTTCCCCCCCACCCTCTGCATTCAGTCAAACCGGTCCCTAGGCTCTTCCTCCCACAGAGACTCCATTTCCAGCCTCCAGGCTTTCGGCACATGTCATCCCCTCTGCCTGGAGTGCCTTCTCTCCTTCACTTCATAGACTCCCTCCATCCTCTCTCTACTGCCTTTCATTCCCAAGCCCGGTTTTTTATTTATTTATTACATATATAGCCACCCAGAAAGGGAATATCTATGAGCTGCACAGGGCACCGGGCTAGGGGGGACGCAGAGAGGGCTGGGAACCCGGATGAGTCATAGGATGGCTGGAGCACCATCCCTGGGCGTTCAGAAAAAGGGGGAACCCCAAAGGCGCTGAAGGTGATCACACTGGCCAGGAGCTGGGGGAAGAAGCCAGGGAGAGTACCCCTTCCCCTTGGGAAAGGGGACAGAGCACCTGGCCAGGAATGCGGGGAAGGGGCGCAGCCACAAGGAGCCTGGGCCGAACACCTCCCCGGAGTCCTGCAGGGAGCGAGGCTGCCTCTCCCCTCTAATCAGCTCGCTGCTGACTCACCCCAAGTTTAGGGCCTTTTTCTCACGCACGCCCGGCCTCACCCAACCTGTCTGCGATAGGTGATTTGGGGGAACTGAGGCAGCACTGGCCCCAGGCCCCCCTTGTTATGGGCGGGGGCAGGCGGCTCCCTTTGGGGAAGAGTCTCTTCGAGAAGCGCTCCGTTTTTATCTTTGTACCATAGGCAAACTGCAGGTGCTTGTTCACAGAATGACTGATCTGGATTTAAATCCCACCTGCTCTATGTCACTTTCCCTTCTGAGCCTCACTTTCTTCATCTGTAATATGGGCTCAAGGTCCTTCCAGCTTTAACTTTGCTCCTAGAGCTGATCCCAGCTCTGGAAGTGAGGGAACTTCCCTGAAGGGGGCTGGGGTCTCTCTCCCCAGCTCCCCTCTCTCAGGCCTATTTGTCACCACCAACACCCTGGAGAGCCTGGGAAGGCAGCAAGCGCCTGATCTTGTGGGGGGGCGGAGGGACCCAAGGCCTCATCAGGAGCTACTTGAGGGTGGAGAGGTGGGTGCCAGGGCTGTGCTGCTAATACGCGTAACCCAGCTTTGCAAACCTTCAAGCATTAATAAACTTTGAACAGCAAGGGAAGGAGGGGATGCTGGACTAGACCTAAACGCTGGATCTTATAGAGGGGGAAACTGAGGCTCAGAGAATGGATTTGCCACTTGAGTAATGTTGGGCAGTCTCTTCTCCTTTGGGGCTCAGTTTCCCCCTCTGTAAAATCTGGGGTTTGGGTTTAATTGGATAAGCTCTAGAATTCTGTGATTATTTCATCGTCCACCTGTAAAAGCTGTGGGTGGGAGGGCAGAGCGGGCCGGGAGAGATCCCAGTTCTGACGGTGCCTAGACAGTGAACAGGACAAACAAACAACCCTGACTGAGGGACAGAGGGAGGTTCAGGGCTCCTGGCTGACCCTCGTCCCTGTCCCTGGCCCTCAGGGCTGTTGAGGATGGGAATGCAGATAAGAAAAGCCTTCTCCCTTTGTCTGGGGCCAGCACCTTCCCCTGGGGTGGGGCAGCCAGGTGCCAGCTGACCTTCTCTGGACGTCAATAGTAGCGTGAGCCGGAGTTCTCTGGTCCAGTAGGCCCGGGGAGGGGGCAGAACCCCGCCTCCGGCTCGGCCAATCACAAGAGAGAGGCCGGGCTCTGCCGGCCGATGGCCTGAATTAGGTTCCCGTTGGCCCCTGGGCAGAAGCCAGAGTACTGGTAATGCCGCTGCGAGGCCTGGACTCTCGGAAGGGGAAGGCAGCGTGTGACTAGCTGGACCCCCCAAAGCAGCAGCTCTGAGTGATGTGCCCCACCCCCGTGACGGACAGCAGCTCCCACCATGGGCTCCTGTGGGCCAGGGTGGTTCTGGGGCTAGAAGGACCCTCAGGGACCCTCTAGGTCAGGGGCTCTGCACCTTGCTTGTGCCTGGACCCCCCAGACCCCCAGCCAGGGGAGCCTGGTGAAGCCTAGCCATGGACCTCTCCTTAGAATCATGTTCTTAAATGCATCAAATAAGATACAAAGGAAACCCATGATAGAGAAATCTAGTGACCCACACATTAAGCCCCCCCCAGGCCACAGACACCCCCACCCCAGACAGAACTCGGGTGAGGACCTTTATTCCCAGGGGCAGGCTGCCAGGCTCTGAGGAGTCACAGGCAGTGCCCAGGTCAAAGGCAGCCAGTCCTACTCCAGAGCCTGAGGGGCCTGCCCAGGGGGCACTGCTCCCAACCCACGGTTCCTCTTTGCTCACCGCAGGGCACACTGGTTCAAAGTAAGCCAAGTGAGCCTGCTCTCCACCAGGTGTCCAGGCCCCTGCCCAAGCAGGAGCAGCAGCACTCCCTCCACCTGCATGGCTGGCACTGCATGCCCTTTGCAAGTCTGGCATCTTGTACCCTCCGCTCCAGCTCTGCCAGGCACCAGGCACCATCCCTCACTGCCAGGCCAGGAACAACTAACCTCCTCTCACCTAGCGCAGGAGCGCTTCCTCCAAGAAGCCTTCCCTGAATTGCCTTGAAGGAGGCCATGGCAGGCAGGGCAAAGAACACTGGGCTGGGTGTGAAGCCAGACTATTTCTGTGACCTCAGGTGGGTGAGACCCCAACACTCAACCACTCTGGGCCTGTAAAGGGAGGATAAAGACAGCACCTCCCTCCTAGGGTGAGAATATTTGTAAAGTGGAATCATAGTGTTAATTGTGTGTTCTGGGCTCATGCCCACAGGAGGCCCTGGAAAACTGTCTCAGTTTTCCTTTCTGTACAATGGGGTAGGGGTGGCTTGGGGAACTTTAAGGACCCTTCCCTCTAAACCACTCCTGTGCAAAAGTCAATAGGGCAGTTTCCACTTGGGAAGCCTTGGATTTTTCCACTCTTGAACTTGTACCCATCACACCCATCAACCACTGCCTTTTTTACAACTGCCCAGAGGTCAAGGGAGAGAAGGGAGAAGGGATCAAAGGATGCTCACTGGGACACCTGCCAGGTAGGAAGAGCAGAAAGCATCATGGGGGGAGGGGGGGAGAGAAAGGAAAGAGGAGGAGGAGGAGGAGGAGGGGGAGGGGGAAGGGAGGATTAGGGGGAAGGGAAGGGGAGGGAGGAGGCAGGGAGGAGGGACCCCAAGGCCACCCAGGCCAGCGGGGATCAGGGTCAGGCCAAGACTCCTGCTCCAGCAGGGCAGGGGGACCCAGGCTTTTCCTCAAAGTCCCTGAGATTTCCCCATCTGATGGATGACCGGGGGGTCACAGAAGCAGGACGTGGGGCTCCACGTGGACAGAAAGAGGAGGAAGAAAGCAGAGGTGGGCAGGCTCTATCTGGGGCAGAGGGCTCAGGTGCCAGGGGCACCCAGGGCCCCAGCCCCACCCCCCGGCCCCACAAACATCTACCTACATTTCCTGAGCAAAGCCCCGAGCCACAGTGACCAAGTTAATCCTTATCTTTACAAATGAGGAAACTGAGGCCTAAACAGGGCAAGGGGCAGAGCTGGAGGCAGAAGCTAGGGCTGGCGGCTCCTCGGGCGACCTCCGCTCCCTCCCCCAGGGCCCATTTCCCAGTTTCTGCCGTAGGTGAGCCCTTCTCCACCCTACCCCATGCTCATTCACTTCTTCGCAGGTTCCTGCCTGACCACCCCTATGGTATCTGCTGTGTCCAGGCAACTGGCCAGACCAGACCCACACCTCCCCTCACTTCCCATGCCTTGCCCTAGGGCCAGGTGAGAGTTGGAGGTCCTGGTTGGAATCCTGGCTCTGCTAATGGCACCTACCAGACCTGGAATAAGTAAGTCCCTTCCTCCGTCTGGGCCTCAGTTTCCTGCGCTACAAAACGGGTGAATGACCCTGGGGGAATCACTTGTCTATGTCCTCACTACCACCTCCCTTTCCTCCTCCTCCCAGGGTGGCTGTACAAGAAGGAAACCCTGGAAAACGTTAAAATGGGGTACAAAGGTGACCACATGTTAGTCTATTAACTGAGTTGTTATCTAGTGATTGAAGCCTCAGTTTTCTGATCTGCACGATGGGGTAACACAATGGGGGTCCACCTCATGGGGTCGTCAGCCCTGGCAGGGTCCTCAGTGGTCATGTGGGCCAGCCCTTTCAGGAGGGGGAAGCAGCTCTCAGGGACAGGCTTGTGAGGGGCAGAGTGGGCTCTGCACCCGGGTCTCCCTAAATGCTGCCCCAAGTGAGTCTTAAGTGTCTGGCTAAGGAAGGCACGGCACCTGCTAGGCCTCAGTTTCCCATTCTGTAAAACAAAGGTGTTGAACTGGACAGCCCACGAGATCCCTTTCAGCTCTGAATCTATAGCTTAATGGTCTGGTGGGCCTGGGGAAGATGAGGGGGGCCAGGGTGGGGCCGGCCAGCCCCAGGTCTTACTCCATCTCCTTTTCCTCGGCCTCCTCTTGGCTGATGTCCTCCTCGACGCTATAATCCAGGATGGAGCCAACCCCAAAGGCCTGGTTGTGCCGGATCAGAGGCTTGATGGCCTCCTGGTCCTCGCCAGCCACAAACTGCCCATAGAAGGTCATCTTCATCAGTCGGTCAAACAGGTGCCGGCCCAGCAGCTTCTGGGAGACTTCGAGCAGCTGCGCGACACAAACAAAGCGCCTTCAGGCCATGGGCTCACCGAGGCCGCTGGGGTCGCCAGCTCCCCACCGCTCCATCCACTCCACGTCACTGCTCGGGGGCAGAGGGGTCACCTAGACCCAATCAGGGGCAACTGAGGGCATGGAGGGCGGTGACCACATGGCTCTGGCCCCTGCTTCGCCTCCAGCACCTCTCCCTCTCGCCCTCCTCTGTCCCAAAGATCTGTGTTGATTACTCCTTATCTGTGTATACAGGTTGCGGCCCCCCCCCCCCCCCCCCCCCCCCACAAGCTCCCTGAGGCACAGACACTTTGGGGTTTGTCTTTGTAGCCCCAGCACTGAGCATGGAATGCAGACCTGGATGCAGCAGAGGCTGCATCTGTGGAACAGGGATAATAGCAGCATCTGCCCCCCGGGGGGTTGTGAGGCTCCCGTGGGAAGGGCCTGGATCCTCATCAACAGGGTCATAGATGAAGAGCTGGAAGGGGCCTGAGGTCATTTAGACTGGCCTCGATTTTACAAATGAGGAAACAGGCTGCTAGAGCTGAAGTGACCTGCCCAGGGTCACCCAGTTCGTCAGGGTGTGAGGGCACACTCGGGCCCCTTGAGCGTGCTCACTGCCTCTGTCCCGGGCCCTCCCTCGGAGCCTCCGTCCAATCCTCGAGGCTACCTCACATCATCCAATTTTCGGCAGCAGACAGTTTAGGAAAAGGTCATTTGGCCCCTTCCCCTCCTCCCACTTCCCAAGCTCCTGGGCAACAGGAGGGTAGGAGTCCTGGCTGGGCTCTGGGCCTGTCCTCTGGGAGGCTGCACCCAAGAAAAGGCCAGGCCTTGGGGCAATCACAGTATGAACACAGGAAGCCCAAGTATGGATGAGCCAACAGGGCTGACGAGGGCAGCCCAGAAGCAGCTGGAAAGCCCAGCCCTCAGCTCGGGCTTTGCCCTTCTCTGAAGAAGCCAGGCATTCCCATTCTCTGGCCACGTCCTTCTCCCCACACAACTCTGCCATTGTTCCTGGGTGGGCTGGATCAACCTATACAATGGCCCCTCAGAGTCCTGAGCTCCTTCAGAATGGGTGAGGAGGCATTCCTCAGAACTGACTAGGCATCGAGCCCTAATGCAAAAGCACAAAGCAAAGACAAAGCCTCATGGAGCTGACACTCTAATGAGTGGTGGTGGGAATAGCCCTAAAAGGGGAGGAGCGGCCAGTGAGGGACATTCTAGTCAGGAAAGTCACAGGGATGGTGAGTGGGATCACGGGGAGGAGACCGCCCTACTGTGCCCTGATGGTGGATCAAGATTCCAGACCTGGGGGCAGCTAGGTGGTGCAGTGGATAGAGCACCTGCCCTGAAGTCAGGAGGACCTGAGTTCAAATCCGGCCTCAGACCAAACACTTGACACTTACTAGCTATGTGATCCTGGGCAAGTCACTTAACCCCAATTGCCTTAAAAAAAAAAAGATTCCAGACCTGGAGGTGACAAAGGGAGGTGGAAACAGAAGGATATACAGGGATCTCTTCCCGATGCCCCTCCAGAGCAGTGCCTCCCGTCTGACTATCGCCAAGTCACCCTCTGTACATGATTGTTTCCATGTCGGCTCCTTGGTTAGAAGAGAAGCTCCTGGGGGTGGGGGGAAGGGTCTTTCTTTCTGCTTCTGTATCCTCAACACAGCACTGGGCACCTGGTTCATAAATAAATGCTTGCTGACTGACCCTGGGCTCTCACTCGGCCTCAGTTTCCTTAGCAGAGGGGGCTGGCGCCTCCTCTCCTTCAAATGCAGATGGAAAAAGTCCTCTTTCCTCCTCTCTCAGCACTTCTCCCTTATGGGCTCTCTTCTATGCCTCCAGCTTCAGCAATTCCTCTTTGCAGACACATTCCAAATCTACAATGCTGGCCTCTGACTGAGCTGGGAGGCCTCTCAAGGGCCCAAGCACTCTCTCAAGTGGCCTATACTATATGGTGGCTCATACAGACACGGCTACCACGGCCTCTGAGCTCAGCCGCCTCGCCAACCTCCTGGCCTCTGTTTCTCCCTGGCTGCTCCCCAGGGTGCAAGTGCGTCTGTGGCACAGCCGTCCCTTCCCATGGTCGCTGGCATTTGTAAAGTGCTCCAGGGTTTGGAAAGAGCGTTGTATGTGTCATTTCATCGGATCCTCACAACAATACTGAGAGTTAAGCGCTATGGTTATAGTTATTTTACAGATGAGGAAACCAAGGCCAATCAATCACTATTTATTAAGCACCTACTTTATGCACTGTGCTAAGTACTGGGGACACAAAAAAAGGGGCAAGAGATAGTCCCTGCCTTTGAGGAGCTCACAATCTAACAGAGGGACAACACGCAAACAAATGTTTAGGAAACTCTAGACAAAAGTGAAGGGACTTGCCAGGGACTGCTGCCTTGACTTGCATGAATTGGACTGACGTCAGGCAGAACTGCGCCAAGGTGTCAGCCTCACTCTCTCTTCCTGAGTCACTGATGCCCAGTGGCAGGACAAAAGGCAGGATGAGAGGCAATGGCCAGGATGCAGCAGACGGCTTCAGCGTCTCCCGTGTCTGACCAAGCTCTAAGGCTCCACAGCGCCTACTGCAGCCGCCCTGATGGCCGTTGGAACAAACCGTTCTCATGTCGCCAGGAAGTCTTTTCATGCTTGAGGGTAACTGAGGCAGTCAGTGAGTTAGGGGGACGTCTACCCTGGGCATGGGCCACACGGCTTCCCGGTCCAGCTCTGCGCACTGGGATAATTCCAGTCTCCTTGTCTCAGGGATAGCGATTGCAGCTGCTGTAGTACCTACCACCTGCTGTTGCTACTGCTACTATTACTACTATTGCTGCTACTATTGGTACAATTGTAGCTGCCACAGTACCTTATCTTTGAGTCACTTGGCCCCCTAGGCTTCAGCTTTCTCCCCACTAAAATGAGGGGAGGGGGTGGCCTGCTCCAGCAGGTGGAGCTCAGGATTCCCCACTCAGGCCCTCATCTCAGGCACCTATGGAGGCCCCACAGCTCCTCCCACCTGGACTCCAAGCAAGTATTGCCTGGCAAAGGCCCAGGGGAAGATCTCTTCAAAACCTCACCCGAACATTCAGATGTGCACAAAGACTTCACAATCAGGGCTAGGTTTCTGGCCTGAGGTGTCTTGGGACTTGGTCTCTCCTGCTATACCCTACTACGGGACAGAGGCTCAGGAGGGATGGGAGGAACACTGGACCTGGTGGGAATCTCAGCTGTTCACACCTGAGAGACCTCAGGCAAGATCCTTCCTTAATCTTCTGTAAAATGGGGGAAGGGGTGGGCCGCTCTGGGCCTCTGACGCTGCTGAACACCCCTGGTGACCTCCTCTGTCTTGCTTCTCTTCCTACCCATCTGAGGGCTCCTCCTAGTCTCCTGTGCTGGGTTCTCATCCAAGCCACACCTCACGGGGGAAATCCCACAGGATCCTCTTCTCGGCCTCTGCTCCTGTCCCCCCTCCCCCACTCTTTCCCTGGGTGATCTCCCAGGGAGTCAATGATCATCTCTATGCCGAGAAGTCTTAAATCTAGTTATCCCAGCCCACGCCTATCCTCCAACCTCCAGTCTCACATCTCTCGCTGCTTATCACACACCTCAAAGTAGATATCCACTAGACATCTTAAGGGCAACTGGGTGGTGCAGTGGATAAAGCACCAGGGCAGAATCAGGAAGATCTGAGTTCAAATCCAGCCTCAGACACATACTAGCTGTGTGACCCCAGGCAAGTCATTTCACCCTGTCTCCCTCAGCTTCCTCACCTGTGAAATGAGCTGGAGAAGGGAATGGCAGACCACTAATTGGTCTAGTATGTATCTTCGCCAAGAAAACCTCAAATGGGCCACGAAGAGTCAGACACAACTGAACAAGGCCCCCTTGACTCAACATGTCCCAGACTCATCATCTGTCCCCCTAAACCCTCCTACCCTCCCGATCACTGTTGAGGGCATCACCTCCTTCCAGTCCCCCAGGCTCACAAGCTGGGCGTCCTCCCGGACTCCTCACTATCTCTCCTCCCCCACATCCAAACTGGTGCCAAGGCCTGCTGTTGGTTCTATCTTCTCCACATCTCTCGAGAGTGCCCCCCCTTCCCTCCTGGGACGCTGCCACCCCTCTGGTGCAGACCCTCATCCCTTGCTGAGGTGGTGGGGGAGGGGAGTGGTGTCTGCCTGCCTCTCGTCCATAGACTATTCAACTGTCCGAAGGTCTGACCTCCCCCTTTCCAGGAACTCCATTGGTTCTATTATCTCCAGGATCAAATAGAAAGTCCTCTGTCTGGCTGTTAAAGCCTTTCCCCTCCCCCCACAAATGGAACAATTGGCACCATGACCTTTCCTTGTTCCCCCCCAAGGACTCTGTGTAAGGTCTCAGAAGACTGGACATGGGGGAGGGCTGATGAGGGGGGCGAGCTAGGTTATGAAGGACTTTGTGTTTCCTCCTGGAGGCCACAGGGAGCCACAGAAGTTTGCTGAGTGAGTGTGTGAGACACCGTCAGACTGTCTCTGGTCTCCTTTGTATCTCTAGCCCTTAGCACAATACCCAGTCAATGCCGGCTGAGATTGACCACCTAGATCAAAGCCCAGCAAACCATGGCGCTCTTCTAGCCCTTCAGCTTCAGCTCCGGCCTGCCTCCGGCTAAGAATGGGTCTTCCATTTTTATTTATTTTAATAAAAGAGAAGTTTAGTTACTTCCCCACCCATTGAGAAGGCAAGAAATGACACCCATCATGCGTGTGGCCTTTGTCACACAAAATATTAGGTTCTTACGTGTTAACATGCAACTTAATCTACAGATGTGAACCCCACAAAACCAGGGTGGGCCCAATCCAGTTTTTGGTCCCATCTTCCCTGCCTCCCCCCGTGACATCTATGTTCACAAAACTATAGGATGACGCTGAAAGGATTTTAGAGATGACCAAACTCAGGCAGAAACAGGGTGTGCTGCCTGCATATTGATTTAAAAATCCACACATTAACATGATCTATTTTATATTGTATTTTGTTAAACATTTCCAAATTACAGTTTAATCTGGTGGCCTGGAGTTTGATACCTCTGATCTAGGCCAGCTTCCCCCCATTTTACTTAGGAAGAAACTGAAGATGGGAAAGAGGCTGTGGCCTGAGAGTGAGGGGCTCCCTCTGACCTCCCCCCTCCCTTTGCAGGCTTTCCTGTAGCCTGAATACTCTTTGCTCTGAGGGGCAGTGACTCTGGCCACCTTGCTGTTTCTTGGACATAATCAACATTCCATCTCTGGACGCTGTGCCTTTTCTCTGGCCGTGACCCACACCCAGAATGCTCCCTTGTCTCACTTTCACCTCCTAGTTTCCTTCAAGGTTTCACTCAAATCCGAGCTCCAGTTTGATGGCTGATCAGAAAGTCAATTTTATATTAGCCATCCTTTGGGATTATTTGCACACTGTCTCCATCCAGCCCAGATGGAGAGCTGATGACATTTCAATTCGAACTTCTAAGTTAGAATTCTAAGACCGATTATGGGCATTATCTTGGAATCGGAGACAGATAAAGTGGGAAAATTGTGGCAGAAGGACCCCAGCCTTTGGGCCATCATGGGTCCCCGCACCCCAGTTTCCCCAGGCAGATGAAGTTCATTGCTGGATTGTTACTATTGATGGTGGTATTGAGATCCAATTCCCCCCACCTCAGAAGCCTGTCCTGACAGCTCAGAATCTCCTCCTTTTCAAGCTCGAGCAAATTCCCATCGGTCCTGACCCCAGCAGAGAAGGAATGCTGCTGTCTTCCTCTGAAAAATGAGCTGATTATTCTCACATATAAATGACAGAGGAAAGTTTTCTCTTCTCTCTTTTTAAAACTGTTTACACTGGGTATAGTTACACAATGAAGGTATGAAAAGAATCCGGTGAAAACAGTGTGCTGATGACTCTGGGGAGCCCCTGCCAAGTTCCCACCAGAGAACCGACTCCCTCAGCAAGCAGGCTCCAACCCAGGCTAGAGGGGAC